GTGCACCCCGAGCGGGTTTGGGGGAGCCACATGGAGCCACGGCTAACAGCTCCCTGTTGAACCCTTGCCATGATTGTGGTGGTAGCGGGGGTAGGGCATTTTTGGGGTTTCCATGAACGATTGGCCGATTCCGTGACCGGACCAGAGTCGCGAACATGTCGCAGTAGACGAGTCAGTGACCGGAAAGTCCCTGGGATTTCAAGGAGGGTCACTTTGAAGGTCCTATGGATGTGTATGGCATGCGTCCTTTTTCTCCCGAGACATTGAATTCATTGACCCTGAAACCACCCCAATGTATAGTAGTAAGTAATTGTGTCAGTCCCGTGGAGTGTTTGGGTACTGGTGTCTCTTTTGGAATTGCATCGCCGACCGGGTGGGCAATGGCGTGTCTTTTGCAGAGGTGATTCTTCTTGGTTTTATGCCGGTTGATTGTCAAGGATCTATTCTGGGGGTACTACTGTAATGCAGCATGGTGTTCCATGTACTCCAATTGGAAACACTGCTTCTTTTCGAGACAATATCATGTAAGCCAGTACACGTGTCCTCACTTACGTAGCAATGCCCCTGTCCCTGTCTGTTAATATATATATATATACATATACAAAGTTCTGGCTCAAAATCGAGGGATTTTGCAGAATGGTGTGGGTGGTATGGACCAAATACCCAAGGTTCGTTGTCACCTACGACCTGCATGGTGTGGGACTCCGCATAGACCTGGGACCTGAGACCTCCAATCAGGCTGTGCCTGTGGACGTCCACCGTGGCAAGACTCAGAATGGGGGGTTCCGGTCTGGGGAGTGAGCGAAAAGGGATGGTCAATAGATTCACATCGCATGTGGGAAAACAATCTATACATCAATATATAGTACGTGCATGTATGTACTTAGCACTATGTGAATCACAGCCCACACCAACTCCAGGTGGTCTTTGGAGATGGACTTCTCGCCAACTCCCTCACACTGTGACCTGCAAACCGTTTGCTTTCAGAGAAATGACTGGAGGGTCTGTCTTTGACTGTGGTGTGTGCACCTTCACTTCTGACGCAGCTGCTGCGATCACGTCCAGAGTCTAAGGTTTCTGCATCACGATGCCCGTTCAACCGGTCTCAACATACCGAATCCGTAATCGGTTTGATTCCACTGTCCCGGACATTTGCTGCACCATCTGTCCAGCAATATCATGTCCAGATGCTGAGAATCCAGATGTTGAGAAATAGCTTATGGCCTTGGGTGGAGCCATCCATCCTAAGCGCAAGAGATCAAATCCCTTGCGTGTGTTGTGCCAGGATTGGGTCTCACAGCCATGAGACAAGGCATTGTTTGATAGACTCATGGCCACAGACACCGTTCGCACCAAGAACTAGTCCCAACCCAAATCAGTGGGTGCATCCCGAAAGCCTCTTGTATCTGGGTTAGGCCATGTTTTCCATCAGGCCAGGCCTATCCAACAGTCTGACCGGATCTACTCTCATCTATTTGGATCGAGGTTTTGGATCCCTTCGGTGGGTGCTGTCGTGGTCTTGGATGCTGATGAGGCTCTGGATGTGGTTTGGAGGGGGAGAGCAGATGAACTCAGCTTTCGTGCTCGAGAGCAGCGGTGGTGAAGCCACCGAAGTGGTCGAAAGCTTCGCCAAAAGTGGTCGAACACATTCAACAAGGGGAGCACACCAAGAATCCACCAAACATGGCACTTGGAAGCGCAAACCAAGAGCCGAATTCTGTTGAGTTTCTGTTCACTAGCCTACAGGTCTATGATGGTCTACGTTGAAGTAGGCACGCACAGAAACCGACTTCAGTGGGAGGGTCGCCATGTTCCTGGATTCGCCAATTTGGTTGTAGGTCAGGATGGCATATTCAGCAGGTCGCGAACATGTTAAGGGTCAGCAACATGGGCAGAAATCACTCACGCATTGAAGAGATCAAAATCATGCTACCCCTCAAAAAGACACAACTTCCATATGAGTTATAGTTAGTTATTTATATATAAACGCTTTCACAACTTCACCCCCCACCACTTCACTATCCGCTCTCAAAACACGGGGGATGTTCTTTTTTATGTGTGTTTTTGACACTTCCTCGCTCGCTCTTGCTGGAGTTTGGAGTTCCGGAATGAAAGTCCATGGATCCATCTCTCTCTAGTCCAATGTCCATGAAGTCCCAGCATCGATGGTGGATCGGTGAAACTACCCCAGGCTGGAGTGGATCGAGATGTGTCCCACTCGAACCTCAAACGGCTTACGACCAGCAACAAAGTACGCAACATGGAACCTGAAAACCGGTGCAGTATCTTCCTGCAGGTCACATGCGTCTTCCTTACAGGTCGCCCGGTTCCAGAATGGAACATATTCAAGAAACATGTTTGATATTCCATTTTGAAGTCATCTCCTGGGTGTACTTGGCCATCACATGTAGGTCGGCATTGCCAGTAGGTCCTCGGATCGCCTGTTTCACGCCGATCTCCTCAGCGTGATGGGCCCAGGGCCTCTCGCCACGGATGTCCTCTTTGAAGGGGCACCCTGCTGGTGGCATCGAGGACGAGGGATTTGCGATCGAAAAAGTGGAAACAAATCCTTAAAAAAGACCTAGGCACTGCATGGGACATGCATATTTACCTACCATGGTGAGGTTCAGGGGTTCAGGCATATCATAATATATTATAGTATAGTACATATGGAGGAAAACATCTCGAGCACTCAGGAAGTTCTTTTTTTTCTGTATTCCCTTCGTCCGACAGCGAGAAATTGGGTGTCCAGAGCTTGTCGGTCCGCGTAAGTTTGGTGGGTTTGGTGTCACTGGCAAGCTCAAAAAGCAGGGCATTGGATTGCAGCTCAAACATATTAAGTTCATGTGTTTTGTGTGTCAAGTTCATGTTCTGTTTTGTGTTTGTGTGTTTTTGCGCATTCATGACATATCTCCGTCCAAGGTGATCAAGATGACCCACTGGGTCAAGCTATAAAATGACACCACAGACCTTGGGAGCTCTCAATGAAGCCCTATTTGTAGCACCAAAATCAGGGCTCTTTCAGTGTAAAGTTACACTTAAATGGATGTAGAGTCAGAGGGAACGTGGGAATCTGGAATCATTCATGGTTATATTTTAACATTTTTTGGGGGAATCGTTCTATTCTATTTGTCTATTATCTATAATGTTTATACAAGATTCAACAACATAAAAAATGACAAAATCAACGCATGCTCATGAACTATTGATAGATATATCTATGCAACAGGGATTCCATGGTTTCGTTTGTTTGAGAATGCAGTCAACAGCTGCGGGAAGTCCGTCGCCAGGACGTCTTATGCAGCGAGCCCTTGCAGCCGGCGGATGTGGTGGTGAGCATAGGCCAGATCAAACCGAAAGTTGTTTAAACGATCTGGCGCCAGGGGATGTGTTTAATACATGTGGTCCAGCCAGCCGATGTAGATCTTCTTCTCCACTCTCAGTTGGTCCCTACACCAACTCTGACCCGAAAGTGGTATGAAGTGGATGGCCCAATGGAAAAGGATACTTAATTCTTCTTTACATGGCGAACCTTTCCACTTGGAGAGTGCGCCAAACGCTGAACGGAGCATGCTGATATCCTCCGTTTGAGCTGGATCTTGGTGGTGTACATGTAGACTACTTCCACAATCATGGAAGTGCCTGTTTGTGGCAAATGATCATCCAAGGGAGTGGGCCATGGCCATCCACCTTGGCCCATGCCATTTTTTAGGGAATCGGTCGTCCGCCGTCTGACGCCGTGGTCAGTCATCGGTGCATCGGTCCCGGGGTTCCCGAAACAGGGAGGTTTTTTCACACACGATGAACAGGTCAAAGACCTCATTTGACTGGATCCGGTCATGACTGGATCCAGTACTCAATGAGGTCGGACGGACCAGGTTAAACTTGGCCTTTGGACTTGTAGGGCACGATGAAGTGTTCGGCTCCAAAGACAAGGGAAAGAGAATCTGTGATAGTAACATGATGCAACGTCATACATCGTCGTCACTATCACGTGATAGTGATAGGATCGTGTGCTGCCTGAGATGTATATGTTGCAGCGCATGATTCGGCTGCTGCGACACACAGTCGACTGCAGGAAAGCTGCTGATCCACTATGTTCATAGCTTGGAGGAGGTGGGGTCGATGGGTTGCCTTCTGCGGCGGTCACAACGATGTGCGAGGATGTCGTGACTGGGGAGGGAACAGATAACGATGCATGAAAGTCATGAACACCAAAGAAGTGGCCCAATTGACCACTTGATATAGCCATAATAGCCAATCATCCGCAAAATCCCACTTATCTTATACTTATTTATTATACCCTAAATAATCAAACACCCCGGATCCATCGAACATGACGGCGCTTCAGCGTACTCCATGCTTCGCTCCCTCGCAACTGTGATGGCTCAGCCAGTTTTGACGCCCGAAGAAGCTCTGGGTCCCAGGCGACGCGTGAACAGCGACGCGTCCGTCGGACGCGTTCCCTCGCGAAGAGTGTGGATGCGCCGCCGCGGGGATGCATAGGGCGATGAACAGCGACGATGTTAGCGCGACGAAAAGCGGTTTCAAGGAGCAGACTTGAATGGACTGGCGCTTGTTGGCGCTGGGGAGGACCTGAGGATGGCAGGTGGTGTGAGGTAGCATCAAAGCTAGCTGTGAAGTGGCCAGTGGGAAGTGGGAAGCTGCAGCCATTGACTGAGACCTTTCACCAGGTACTGTAGCAGAGTGGTACGGGCCCGGTGCGGGTCCGCATGCGGATGGTTTGCGCACGCCTGGAGTTTCCACCAAAGACGTGGCCTGTTTCCTCCTAAAAGACTTTTGTAACTTGTCGGACAATGTACACCAGGAGCAGATGAGGCTGAGCCTTGGGTACCATCACAATTTAAGGTATATCCTGATCTCAGTTTTGATTCTATCTCACCGGGCTCTTCCAACGTGCTTTCCGGACCTATTCTCTTTTCTTGGCACCACAGCTCCCTCAAGCGCCTCAAGCTGCGCCTCAAGCTGCGCCTGGCAGGATGAGACGGAGCCGCAGCTGCCTGGTAGCGCTCACCGCTCCTGTGGCCTTGCTATGGCACCTTTGGATGCCTGAGGCGGTACCCTGCGGACCCTGCGGACCCGTCTCCCAAGGTCGCCGAATTAAGACACTTTTTAGCTTGGGGGTTTGAAGTGGACAGTCCAGCTTCTTCCAAGTGGCCCCTGTTTGTGACGCACACGCCTAAGGACCTCAAACCAGGAAATCAAGTTTGGTCACTTTAAGGCAACCAAGGTCAATCGGGTTTCTCTAAGGAACCTAGTATGTTCTTCAAAAAGCAACCGCCACGCTCGGGGATTGGACTGGACCAACCTGACGCACTGCGCGCCGGCTTGGTGGCCGCACCAGGGCTCGCCGCTGGCCTTTTTCTTTGAGTCGAAGGAGGACCCAGTAGAGCGCACCAAGAGACTTCTCAAAGAGACGGACGCGGTCTTCTTCGATGTGGATAGTATCTGGGAGCGCACGAGCGTGGCATGTGCGGTCGTGTCGTGTCGCCTTCGGTCGGTGGTGAAAGACCTGGCGAAACACGGACGACGAACGACCCTCCACTCACCTCTCCCAAACACAGAGAAATAGAGGTGTAAATCAATGGCTTTCAATTGAAACTTTCAATATAGGTTTGAACGCAGGGACGGCCATGTTACAAAGACCAATGGCGGCCAGGCAGACCACAGCTTCTCCCAGGTACTGTGGTGACCACCGAGGGTATTGACCTCATTGGAAAATGCTTTGGAATCATGTCCCTCGGTGGGCCAAGATGTTTGTTATGCGCCGAGCGACCACGACGTTCCTGATGCACAGAACGCAGAGCGCGTCTTTCGTGCACGGAACGTGTTTCCCCCAAAGACCCCTTTTATTCAAGTAGCTTCTTGTTTACTAATAGCATCTAATAGCACTGCGCTTGTTCCGTTCGTAGCGATGCCCTTAGCCACGGTCGTAGCTTCGCAGCTTCCTAATAGCACCGGATGTGTGGCGAAGCTGTGAGGAGAATCCGCTGGGTCCCGCCGTGTCATGTGGCGCTTTTTATCCAGGGTGTTTTTCGGCTCGGTCCACTGGGTGACCCCTGCATTTCAGAAAGTTGTGCTGGACACTCCGACACGTCTCCAATTAAGAACTTTTATATAGGATTGTTTAGGGGCTAGCAATCCCTTACAGTAATTAGAGGAGATCTGTTGCAGTGTCCTCGAACTGGTCGTCCATTCACTCAAGACCCACTTGCCAAGTCTAGATGCTGATCCATCGCCGTCGTCTCAAAATGTGTTTCGATTCCAGCATGCTAAAGATGGAGCACAATCGAGAACCCCAGATGTATACTGTAGATCATTGGCCCCCCAAATGCACGTGTTTGAAGATATTGCTGAGCAATGAATGCCACGTGAAGCTAAGGAAAGAGATCTCTGAGCTCACACACAAAGCTATGAATGGAAATGTCAAGTTTCAGGCTCTTGGGTGGCCCTGATCCTATTTGAGCAATGTCCAGGTTGTGGGGCCATCCTAGCAATGCGCTTGCTTTCCGTCAATGGGAAGGCTGACTAGGACCTACTAGGATTGCAAACGGTGAACATTGGCAAATCCAATTTGGAATATAGAAAACACCAACAATCACCACCACATAGTAATTATAGGGTTGCTGCTTCCACTGGGAAACTCTCTTTCACAGCCCCCCTATGAACCCAAAGGTTCAAGACCGTGCATCGTGAACACGTGTGAACCTGTTGAACCTGGGCCCACAGCTTCTGCCAGGACGCCATGGCAGAGCGATTACAGCTGATGGCGGACCATGGCATGACCAAAGAGAAGTTGGAAAAATGTGTGAAGACTGAAGGTCGGGTCGAGTGCTCCAGCGGCTTTGGGGGCCCACGAATCGTGGATTGGAAGGGTTGCGAAGATTCAAGTGAAGTACCCTGAGCATCGGATATTGATTTATATCAATCGAATCCTAAAAAAATGCTGATATTGATGTGCATCGTTTCTCTTGATTTTTCTAATATTGTGTGTTTTTCTTCTTGCAACAAAATGTAATTTGTTTTGATGGTTTTGATTGATTTGGATATTGATTTTGGAAGTACATGTTTTCTGCACATCGTTGGCTCAAAGTGCTTCACAGTTACCAGATCACCCTCTTGACAAAAGGGGGGCTGACATCCCTTTTGACCAAACGGGGATGTCCAGAGGCGGCAATAGGCACAATGTTAAGCCACAAGTGGATGAGGGTTTGCTGGTGAAGCTATTTAACCAGCAATCCCAGCTGATCAAAGACCTGGGGCCATATGAAAAGATATCAAAAACCCAGGCCATCAACCCTAAGGGATTGATGGCAGTTCTGCCCTTGACAAAAGGGCTTTTGGAGCTGGAGAATACAGGAGAGATACATGGACAATGCCTAAGGAAGGCCCTATTCCAACTCTTGTTGGAAGAGCCATCATTGAATGATTCCAAATTCTCTGGTGGTGTGTGGGTAGGATTGAAGGTTGAAAGGTTGGGAGTTTTGCTATATCACATGAGAAAACTTGCAAACTCCAACCTTCAGCAATGTGCTGCCAAGCTCAGTGGCTTTGAGCTCTTGCAGCTCAAAGATGTAGTGGAGATGATGACAAAGAAGGTCACCCTTGACCAAAGGGTTGGAGCAGATGACCAGGAAGAAACAAACGAAGATGACCATGAGATGAGGGCTCTGGCAGCAAGGATGCCTTGACAAAAGGCTGTGCTCTTGAGAATGATGCCCTCTTGACCAAAGAGGGTCTTGAGAATGATACCCTCTTGACCAAAGAGGGTCACCCCCCCAGCTTCTTGAGAAGACGGACAGGGCAATTGGCCCTAGCCAATAGGGCAAGTTCAGATTTGCCAACCAACAATGAAGAGCTGAAAGAAGAGCTGGGCATCATGAAGAGACCAGCAGGGAAGAAACAAGCAAAAAAGAAATTGAAGACACCTAGTTCCTTGACCAAAGGATCTGGAAAGGTAAAGAAAGAGAAGCATGAAAAGAGTACAAAATCAAGTGCTTCTGCTGGTGGGAAGTCATGGGCAAAGCTGAGAGTCACAACTCCAAAAAAGCCACCTTGGAGAGTTTACATTTGTGGCACCAAGGCCAAGGGTGGCAAACGCAAAATGTCTTTGATTGTGCAAACACCACATGTTGGCCACCCAAGGTATGTGGAAATCATGGGAGAAATCAAGCAGAAGCTGGAGCAGGAACACCTCAGCAAGCAAGAGGCAATTGATCTCAGGGATCACTGGTACAAGACCTGGTAGGTTGATATCTTGACAAGTTTTTCCTTCCACTAGGCTGTCGAAGCTCTTTGGCAGGATCAGAGAGATCTATCAAGCCTTCCAGATCACTTCAAGACTCACCAACTTGAGGCCAAGCATGGTCTGGGACATCTCAAGTCCACACAAGAGATTTCCATGCCTGGAGGCTAAGGCTGCTGAAACAAAGTACCTCATGCCCTGTCTTGAAGCTGTGCTCCAGGAATCTTTGCATGCAAAGACTGAGATTCACAAGACCATGTTGGGGTGCATTGGTGCTTTCAATGAAGCCATCCTACATTTCGACCAAATTGGTGCCTTCTTGACAAAAGAAGAGTACAATGTTGGCATGAACCTTGTCAAAAGGTTCTTCTCTTTGTATGCAGATCTGCACCATTGGGCTGAGTCCCAAGACAGGAAACTTTTCCATGTGACTTTTAAATTTCATGCCTGCCTACACGTGTTCATGGGCACCAAATACATGAACTATCGATTTCACTCCAATTTCAGAGGTGAAGACTATGTGGGGAGAATCTCCAACCTTTGTCTTGAGGAGGCTGATCCTTGACAAAAGGAGCCACATGCTTGAGGATCCTTGACAAAAGGATCTCTTGACAAAAGAATTCTCACCAAATTTGTCAGCCCTAGACAATAGGGTTCGAGTAGCTCTGCGAGCCCCAAAGATGGGCAGGAGGAGTCCAATCTGGAAGTGAAAAAGCATGCTTTGCTTGCCTTTTCAGTATTGATTTTTGCAGTCTAAAGCATACAAAAGTGTATTGATTTTGGAGTGTTTTTTGATGTTGATTCCTATGGCTCCAAATCAATCAAAACTCTTCGACTTAAAATCAACATCAATAGATTCTGTAGAGTATTGGTTTACATCAATATCCGATGCTCAGGGTAAGTAAACTAAATGACTAGCAAATCGACATAATCTATAGACATCATCTCAATACAACAGGAAAAAGTCGAAGCTGCGATCTGCAAAATATGGCGAAGCAGATCATCTCAGATTGTTTTCCAACACAGGTTGAGTGACCCTATAGACTATCCCATAGGTACCCCAGTAGGGTCCTATAAGGTTACTTAACCTCTCTTGGTTGTTGATTTCAACCGGATGTGAAAACCTTTACCTGTCCACTCCTGCAGTTTCCGTCGACAGGTGTTCCCAAGTGGTCGCCTGGAATCAAAGAGGTCGTGCAGATGCTTCACAAGCAAGGGACTGATGTCGCTTGTTCGACCTGGGTGGGCGTAGAGGCGAGAAGGATTTAGTAGGAGCCAACACGACCTGGGCCAAGTTTTGAGTTTTGCAATGTTTACACGGCCAGTCGCGGTCAACTGCCACAGCCCCATGGTGGTTTTACGGTCGATCTCCTGGTTCTTCAGTCTACTGAGCTTGGTCTCAGATTTCGGCACACATCACTATCCGGGATGACCAACGCCTTTGCTACGTGACCAGTGCAGCAACCAGTGCAGATGCTGACACAGCCAGCCACCGTCCGGCCACTTTTTCGGCCGAAACCGGCCGCCGGTCGGTGTCTCCAGCCTGCTCGCTTCCCAGCTGCTCTCACTCCAGGTTCCCATCTCGAAGGTTGGACATGGTTTCGTGGTTGGTTGGACTGTTGGACTGTGCGCTCAAAGAGGGAGGACTCCGAGAGGACCCGCTGGGTGTAGTCTATTTGGGGCGGGGAAATTTTATCTATTCTTTTCTAATGCACACACAATGATTATATAATATATATGTATATATAGATATATTATACATATACATGCATATGATCATATATGTATGGGTTTCATGTGAATCCAGCACTGCACTGCGCACCAGTTCGCGCGCCTGTGAGGTTTATCTAGTGTCCGGGGGATTCCAGAATATGATCAAGCCCATTGCGCTGCTTGGCTAGTTTCATTTGGATTGAGGCACGGGTGTGTGGAACACACACCTGCTTGCCAGCTGATATCCCGATGATGTTTCTTCGGTTCAACACGTACTGTAGTACTGTAGTGTAGCTGCTCCGTGTGGTTTGACTTCCGTACTGCACATTGTTCTTAGTCTTTTATTTTGCCAGTGTTTTCCAGGTACATAATAATTAGTCGCAGTCGGTAGTCGTCATCGGTAACCAGCCGGTACCATACTTGTCTTTCGGCCTTGTGTTTGGAAGGAACGCACAGGAACGCACAGGAACGCACGTTGAGCTAAGTGTCGACCTGTCGAAAGCATACGAGCTGAGAGAAGGAACAGGTCAATCCATTAGAGATTAAGTGACCTTATTATAGGACCCTACTGGGGTACCTATGGGATAGTCTATAGGGTCATTCAATCTGTGTTGGATTGGTTTCTTCCTTTAGCCAGTTGTGTTGGGGACGTACTTTGGGGCCTGAAGCGCTGGATAGAGGTCTTGACAAGGACTCGACCAGTGATGACGGTAAAGAACAACCAAAAAGGATGAAAAAGGCGTTCCATGGTGACGAAGAACGCCACGTGTGTTTTTACGATTGTATGGTGTGACTTGTTAGAAGGCATCACTATCAAATGCTCTTGCCGCTCGTTCGTGTGACTCCTAGCCGTCGTGGTTGCAGGGCATCCGTTTGGTGCACGGAATCGTGTTGAAGATTCGGACTGTCGGGCCATCACTTCTTACAACTAATGTCAGTGTCATGAATGAACATACACAAAAGGCTACACGGAGAACGGAGAACTTCAGGTCAAGACGAGAACCCATATACATGAATCAATGATAGGAATTGCAGACACCCGGATCTTTCCAGTGACCAAACTTGATCCCTTAGTTTGAGGTCTACCAGGGACTCCAAAGTAAGGTCACTTGGAAGGTCCTGGAAGCCCTGTGTGTTTGGTTTCGAACCATGGACGTCCTTGACAGGAACGGACCTGTCGGATGATCCCCAAAGCCAGCTGGGAGGGACCGAACGAACGACGAGTTTTGGGATGTGGAAGATGTTCCTCGCAGAAGATGCTCGCTTGGCAAAAATCCAGGTTGGAGTTGCACATCCCACAGAAGATGATCTATGCGATGCTTGACATGATGGGACAGGTGCCAGGGGGGATCACATGATTGACATGATGTTCATTCACTATTGGATTCCTGCTCGAAGGATGTAAGCATAGCACGAATCGAAACGCTTTGCTGTGCCATTGAAGCTGTCTTTTTTGGCGGGAAGGTGCGACACCTGCAACACAGATGCATGATAGCTCATAGTGTGAGCAGGCACAATGACAATATTTGTTTGTTTGTGATCATTGCTCCCTCCCATGAGAGTCATGTGAAACAAGTGAAATCAGTGGATTTGTTAACATCAAGTGTAATTCACAGGGTTTGTGGGCAAGCTGCAATGAGGTCCAACCATCTTTACAGACATGAAAACTGGGCAGTCATACTGGGCCCAAGCATTGCTTGAATTCCACTTGCTGCGCTCGAAGAAGAACCCATCCTGGGTCATGGGATCCCCGAAATCTCTCATCAACTGCCGATCTCATCATCTCTACCAGATGGCGATCTGACCTGGTTTTCCTTTTGCGACGGTATTTCAAGTGCAGAACTCCGAGTGCAGTCACAAGGCGAAAGAAGCCTTCAAGAGTGACAGTGGATAATTTGGCGTTTGAATTGCCGTGCACCTATATCAGAGGGGTGCGATATGGTGCGATCAAGCCAAGCGAGGAGGAAGTGCGCTTGTTGCCAAGCGAACTTAACCCATTCCAAACCTGGATAGTGCCTACACTCACAAACTTAAACCGGCCTGCAGATCCATGCTGAGTCAGTAGTTTGTCTTCAATCCCCAGCCGCTGCCACTTCATGAACTAGCTGTTGACCGAAAAAGAACTACCCGAGCTATCCCAAGCTGGTAAAGACATCGATGGCCCAGTGCATGATGGCCGCACAGTTTTTGACCCTTGCTTTTGTACCCTGCATGTCTTTCATCCACTGACAGAGAAACAACCGATGAGAAGTGATTGATCATCCTTTCCATCCACTCCTCGTCGTCGAAAGGAACGAGATCCTTTTTGACGAGCAGGGCAACTACGCCGGCTTCGATCGAAAAGCTCCGACGAGCGCGTCTGGAGGAAAGCCAAAGGTCCTGAGGCTGATGATGCTGGCCAGCAGGGTATCCGAGGATATGTTCACGGCACAAAAAGGCGTATCCGAGGATGGTGCGGGGCAGGACAAATTGCAAAGCACCTTCAACTTGGGAGATGCATGTTGGACTTGCGGTGCAGGTTCCTTGTATGGTGCTTCATGTTCCACCAGATACGGTATATATATGTATATATATGTGTGTATATATAAGGGGATCCCAGACTTGATCAGCGGTTGAGTTTGGTGAATGTGTTGGAAGGCGTCATCAGACAAAGCTTTTGGCCCTTGTCACGAAGCCCTCCAAAAGGTTAATTTTGGAGACGCACCGATTTCTTTGTAGGAATTGGCACCACAGGAATAATTTGAAAAACACTGAAAAATGCTTGAATGTGTTTTTTGTTGTGAATGATTTGTGCATAGCAGTGGAATCTATGCAGCCACTCCTTTGCACCCCCACAAGCGAGCTGGTGCCAAGGTTTTTCATTCTGTGTTCCTTGACCCGTCTTTTGAACGCATGTGCTTTTGCTCTATCCATCTCTTGGATATATTTCGATATGGCTGGATAGCATTTTCAAGTATATATAGATGGAACCGACATGGAACATGTCCATTTCAGTTGTGGGTGTGACCACTTTCTGTGACTCCTGATTTCCGGAATAGAAATTGTTTTGGGAACAGAGGTCCGTTTAGAGGATTCATTTGTACCGTCCTGTTTGATGACGGAAGAGTGGATTTGCTCTTGAAAAACGGATTTGGATCCAGAGTTTCGCTGCAACGGCCCTCCGTTCGTTCGCTGCAACGGCCATTTGTTCCGAGGAAGCGAAGGAAAGGTTACAAGAAAATGATCATGATCGGGGATGGCGCAACCGATTTGGATGCCCGCTTGGAGGGACCTGCCAAAGCATTCATTGGCTATGGCGCCGCGGCCGAATTCCAGCGTGTTCAGACCGAAGCGAGAGCGCCCGGTGGCCGGATTCCCAGATGTAATTCATGGAACAACCAAACATTGTATTTGAGTGGATGAACTGCATCGCTGACTTTGCCCCAGTTCTTGCACCGCATACGGGCCCAAAGCAAGAACAGACCAGTCGAACAAAAGTGGGTGTCGAACATCGGTTCCTGGTGGGGGCCTTTGGGATTCTTGTTGCATTTGTTGCTGTGTTATTTGTGTTTGCAGCGTCGACACTCAACACCCAGAATGTTCTGACATCGTATGATATAGTTACGTATGATATGATAATATATAATACACATCTTTACTATCTATTAATATATACATTATGTAATATATCATGTAATAATAACCAATACATTATAATATATTAATATACATAATATACTATATAGAGAACGTTTTAAAGTATCAACATGAACTGTAGAATTACATAGTTATATAGATTATTATTTAGATTATTATATTATATACCCTGCGCGGTTGCGACGACCAAACCCTTTAAACCTGTAGGGTCTTGGAAGCCACTTTGGGTTTTGCTGGCACCACACCTAAACCCCGGGTTCTTTGGCAAAACCTTGGGTTTTCCTTGAAGCTGCCCAAATCAAGGTTTTCAGGCATCCTACAAGGGTGGAGGCAATTGGTTCTCAAGCACATCCTGAGGTTCTTGGGGAGGCAGAGCCAGCCTCAAAACTCAGATCTCCATGTTTTCCACATTGCCACTTCCATTAAACACGTGGCTAATTACACTTGTTGGCAAACAAATGATTGGAAAATATCGGGTTTGGTGATGAACCCTGGGCTTATAGACAAAATTCGGAATTCTGCAACCTGTGCCCAACCGTACCGAACCCGTGATCTACCCATGCCAACGCATGATTTTACTACTGTATGATACTGTATGGGCTAGGAACGCCTCCCCATGTCCGCGTTGTTGCAGGTTTTTGAATGTTTGCAAAAGATGTGGTTGTGTCCTGACGCAATCCAATTATGCATTTGTGTGGACCTGGATAGCACATGAAGAGATCTCAAGACACTTGACCGAAAGTGTGTGGGCTATAGCTTCTGAATGCTTCCACCCGCTACCTCAGCAGAAAGAAATTGAACACCTCAGGATTACAAGTAAACCCTGCATGTATTGTATGAGGCTTTGGTAGGCTAGGGTATATATTAATTATAACATACATACTGTAGACATAATGTATATGCAGAAAGAGAGAGAGAGAGAGAGTCGAGAGTTGATCTGTGAGTATTGTGTTCAACTTCCGAGCTTGAATGAGTACCGCTCGAAGCTCTTTGGTTGTTGAGATTGTTCGTACACTGAGTATGTTCTCATTAATGAGAAAGAAATTGCCACAAGGCACCGTTCTTTCACCTGATTGATTTCCTCATTGTTTTTGCAATTTTGCATTGTTTGTAAACTGGTCCCACTGGTCTTCGGCTGTTTTTCACCGGCGCTGGCTCTGACAAAGGTGGTGTCTCGGTGCGTGAGAAGGTCAAGAAGAATGCAGATTGGTTCATCACCAGCTTTCAAGAAGTGCTCGCAGCTTGGGCCGCACAGAAGATGCCACTTTTTGTCAGGAAGTGCCAGCGCAGAAGTGCCCGTAGGGTTGTTGTCTGGTGTTTTTGTCAAGGTCATGCAGGCGGAGTACAAGGTTCTTGCTGGAAACATTTACGGATGCAATCTAAAGATTGATGAAAGGTCCTTTGATGCGAAAGTGTTTTCAAGGTTCACAGCCGTTCTTGGTCAACAATTTCGAAGACTTTAACATGGGGCTCGTTAAAGAACATGTTCTGTTTGGTTTGGCGATGTTGTTTTGTTCCGTCTGCTGGCGTGTTTCCCAATGCTACCAGTTAGGGTCAAAGTATCTAAATCTGCGTGTGTGTGTGTGTCTATCTACATATATATATATATATTATATACACGACTCCGCCACGTGAGAGTTTGCCAAAGCAGCTTCCGGATCAAAGGAACTTTGATCAACCCTGCACGGAAACCATTCAATCAAGAGAAAGGAATCCCAAGCACAGTTCACTGTATTTCGTATCATGTTCAGTAGATCCGGATGTGGCAGGAAGTTGCCACGGATCACGGATCGCAGTGCCTGTCACGAACGCGGCTACACGTTCGATACCCACTCTCCGTGTCGGCCCGACTCGGAAGCGAGACGTCCTCGGCTTCAGACGTTGGCCCCTGGGTCTGTCCATGTCTCCGATGGCTTCAGACGGTGCAGGGTGCAGGTTTCAAGGGAAAGACAGATAGATGGATAGATAGGCCTGATAGACTGATAGACTGACAGATAGGTAGGTAGCTAGATAGATAGATAGATAGATAGATGGAACACTTGTGGCTTTCGTTTGATTGCAACTTATGTCACACGTGTGGCCGTGTGGTCTTGCCTGCTACCAGACTTCAATTGCACAGCTCTCAGCTTGCCAAGGATGTTCTGCCCAAAGGCACTGATCTTTGAGCTGAGTATGTTTGACTCAGGCAGATCAATCGATATCCTTTTTGAATCGACCAATCGAGTTCACATCGATAGTTCAGAGGGTCTATGCTGGGGAGTCACGCTGAAACTTGCAGCATTCGACCCCTCAGTCGGATCGACCCGTTGGGCCGTGCGACTGGCAACGGGCGACTGCGGGTTGGCCATGTCATGTCGGATGTCGGATGGCAGAACACGGCAGGGAGACTTCTTTGGAAGAACCGGCAAGTTCCTCAAACACGGCAGGCAACAAGAGTCCAAGGTCCCCTCAAAATGGGGTTCTATGGTCGACCAATGATGTTTTCTGCTAACGTGCCAATGCCCTGAATAGAACCAAACGATCTTGTTTCTTGAGAATAGAAGTGACGACCTACGCACCATCCACAACATGCATGTTGGGGAGGTCTAGTAGGTGATGATTACGGAACAAAAAAATTGGTATAAATGGGTCACTCAGCCAATGTGAAGAACAAGTCGCGATGTGTCACGTGATGCCCAGTCAGTGGGTGCACTATCGCCCCTCAACCCTCCAAGTGCCTAGGAAGTCCTGTATCGTTTTCTGGAGTACTCTAGAGGGACAATAATCACACTAGACATATCCAGTTGCAGGACTATGTTGGTCAATTCTCAGGTGGTATGTCGGAAAGAAAGAAGAAAAAGGATAGAACAGGTATGAGTGATGGTAGCGCTCATGTAAAAAAGGCATCGAAAGGCACCCAGACACAAAGGTTTGGTCAGTGTTCCTGTCACTGTTGGTGTGCAGTTCACTGTTCAGGTTCTTTCTATGTCCGTGTCCAGCTCGAAAGATAAAAGTTTAGATCGGCCTTTTTGTCATTGGTGTAAACTAAGTATGGTGGGTCTATACATACAATACATACAATGGTGGGTCTAAGTATTTGTTCTGAACATACAATCCTGTCTTCGGCTAGAAGAGCTGCCTTCCTCAATCGTCACGTCACGATGCGGTGCCCGACCCATTCGTTTCGCTAAAAAAGACGAGCGGAAGACGACGGGTGGTTGCTTCGAAGGTCGACGTTGCATCTTGACCCGGTTCGTGGTGAAAGGCAACGATCATGGATCTTCATGGATCAACCAGAGTATTTGTAAGAGTCGTCTCAGTAGTTGTGTATGTATAACACTACATTTTTGACCCTCAGCTGATTCAATGGGAACAAGAATGACAATGTATTTATTTGGTTGAACAAACACGCAAAGGATTTGCTGTCAGAGAGAGCCACTGGTCAACAGGCCCGATCCCTTCTTGGGCCTCCTCATGTTCAATCAGAGGGGAGGCCAATATTGAATGGATGGTCACAATGCCAGCCAAATTCTATGATTGCATATGAACACAGACAATGTAATGATGCTGTATTCATAATATGTATATATATAGTTATATATATACTTCAACCGCTTGTACTGCAAGATAGTAATATTGTTTGGGTCTCAAACTATTTTGTTTGGAATTCACAACACTGCTTGGATGTCCACTCACACACCTCATTCAAGTCTCTCAAATTCACCTCCAGCTTTGCCTCAAAAACGCCTCAAATGGAGGCAGTTCCTTAATCTGAAGCTACGAACGGAGCAAAGGGCTATGAGCAAGAAGCTGCGATCCGGGCTCCTGGCCATACCCTACCATCAGCAAGAAGCTACTAGGAAAAGTCGCTCAAGGGTTCTGCTCTTTCGGTCGGGAACGGCACGGGAACCGCAGGTGCTCAAATCTGCCGAGTGACGCCCCCGGGAGTGTCGAGAGGGACAGGACAGAAGGACGAAGCAGTGAAGAGGATGGACCTTCGACCGCTTCGGTTTTTGGAGCGGACCGCATTGACCACGCGTCCTGCATGCAGTACCTGCTATAGGCTTATGTGGACAACAGGGACGTTGTCCTATAGGTCTCCGAAAACGTCCGAAGACGTCCTTTTCATGTTCCAAACCGAAACGACCTTCCGCTCTTCCCCACCGCTCTTCCGCTCGGCTCGGCTCTTCCCCGCCGCACTTCCGCTGTGACGGCGTGAGGTCCGGGGAGCGCTTGGAACTCGTCGTGGGGGATCCCGGCGACGCGTCCGTCCCGTTGCCCGGTGACCGGTGACCGTTGTTTCTACCTTAATTGAGAATCCGGCTGTCCATGGCAGGGGTCCGGGGCCTCAAAACCCTATTTGAGGGCCCGGATTCTTAGGGTAGTAGCTTCTTGTTCCGTTCCTAGCGATGCCAGGAGCCCCTAGTATTAATTAGCCCTATCGTAGTAGCGTCCGATCGCAAACCGTAAGATTCGTAAGGCCAGGAGCCTCTAGTAGCTTGTTCCTAATGATTTGGTTCTGGAATGGGATCTTTGGTTTTGAGATGTTTTGAGTCTGGACGTGTTCCACCTGCAGGTGGTATTTTGGGGGAAAATCATGTCGAACATGTCGAACAGATGTGGAACAAACAACCATATGCGTTTTCGGGTGGAATTGGATTTGGTCGGCTGGGGGTTGTGATTTGTGATTAGCTGTGTTCGACGAGTGGTTCATTTCGAGGAGCTTTAAGCTTGTAAATGGCTGTGTTCTCTGAACCTTGCGTGTTAAAAGAGACAGGACAGGTATA